AAGTGCTAGATGGAAGTAAGGAAAATATGCAGGGGCAATCCACCGAAGCAGAAGTTCCCCTGATGGCAGAGATCATAGATCTTGTCCATTGCTCTGTTGGGCACCTGGGTGAATATTGTTGAACACATGAAAGCAACATTCTAATTCTAATTCTAATAATTCTGGGGGCACCTGGGCGGCTCAGTCTGTTGAGCATCTGACTCTTGATTTTGGTTCATGATCTCAGGGTCGTGGAGTCAAGCCCCAAATTAGGCTTGGAGCTCAGCACGGAGTGGGCTTGAGAGTCTCTCACCCTCTGCCCCTCCCCCACCACTCATGCTCTCCAAAAAAAAAAATAAATAAATAAATAAATAAAATAAAATAAATAATTATAAAAGAAGAAGATAGCAGGAGGGGAAGAATGAAGGGGAGTAAGTCAGACAGCGGGGAGACGAACCACGAGAGACGATGGACTCTGAAAAACAAACTGAGGTTTCTAGAGGGGAGCAGGGTGGGGGGATGGGTTAGCCTGGTGATGGGTATTAAAGAGGGCACGTTCTGCATGGAGCACTGGGTGGTATACACCAACAGTGAATCATGGAACACTGCATCAAGAACTAATGATGTAATATATGGTGATTAACATAACAATAAAAAATTAAAAAAAATAATTATAATGAGCAAAGGAGTCAGTTCTTTTGAGAAACTGGTTCACTCAAGTCAGGATTTTCGTATTAACTGAGTTAGTGGTCTTCCAGTCAACAATATTTACTGATCTCCATCATTTCTAGAAAATGATGCAAAGTAGTGTTAATAGGTAACTCTTAAATAATATTATTATTAAGCATCGTTTGCTAGCACCGCCATAAGCGTTTTGCACATATCAATCCATTTATTTCAAAAAAAATTAAAAGAACAAAAAACCTGTAAGGGAGTCTATTACTCCTCTGTTTTCTAGATGAGAGACTGTGAAGTTAGTGCCTGGCTGGCTCAGTCGGAAGAGCATGTGACTCTTAATCTCAGGGTTCTGAGTTCAAGCCCCATGTTGGGGGTAGTGATTACTTAAATAAATAAAACTTGACAGAAAAATGTTCCATAATATGTCCATGTTTGGTCACACAGCAAGTCAGAGAGGTGGGAATCTAGCTTTATTACCTTCATATGGGAAATAGAAGACACTTTTCCTAATTAAAGGCAATATGGTGGTAAAGAATTTTGAGAACCACTGGCTATGAAATGTATTTTGGGCATTGGAAAAAAAATAAGACAAAGTATAAATTTATTTTGGTTTATGATCTATCACCTCAGACTCAGCCTTTACTGCTATGCTCTCCAATAAGGTAGCCACTGACCACACGTGGCTGCTGAACACTTGAAATGTGACTAGTGTGCATTTTAATATACTGTAAGTGTAAACACACAGCAGACTTAAGAAGACTTAATTTGAAGACTTAATAAGAAAAAATATATAACCTATCTAATAATTTGTTATATGGATCACATGTTGCAATGACAGTACTATTCTGAGTATACTGGGTTATATAAAAATATACTGTTAAAATTAACTTCATTTGTTTCTTTTTGCATCTTTTAATGTGGCTATAAAATTAAAAATTATATATGTGGCATATTTTTTTGCTGGATAGCACTACTTTTCTGATTTTATCTTCAGTGTTGTTTCTGGGTTCTTTCTACATTCTCTGGATTTAAAAAAATGACTCAAAGTTCAGAGATACTTCATCAATGTTAACATTTTCTATAGTAGATGGATTATTGACTTTTTATTCCTAAAAATTATTGTATGAAGACCAAAATTGTTTTTGAAATTATTGTTACTAGCCGTCCTACAATGTTAATCATCTACTTGCACTTTTGTGGAATGTTACAGGGTTTGCGAAGTTCTGGAATCTGAAAACAGAAGTAGAAGAACTAAGAACGGGGTAGAACTTTAAGTCCCGACATTGAGGTTACCATGCTCAATGGCCACTTCTGTAAAATCACTTTGTATGAGAATGCACTGGTTTGTGCCAAATGGTGATTTAATGTCATAAACTTCCCTGTGGGAGGGCAAAGTTCAACCAAGCACCACCTGCTTGTGAAAGCAAAGCTTTATATCTGGTTTTTCTCAGACTCTACCACAGGTCATGTAAACTGCATATTTTCTTAGTTTTTTCAGTATTGCCGTTTCAAAATGCACTTACTGTAGAAAATTTGTGGTTGCATTCCGAAGCTAAAGACTGACAGAATCATTTGGGATGGAAGTGGGATGGGTCTCTGAGACTGGAAGTTGCAAATGCATTAAAAAAAAAAAAAAAGACAAAACGACAACCCAGGAAACCAAGTTCCTTCAGCAAATAGTTTCTTCTCACTTTCCTATTTGGCTCTTTTCTCTTTTTCATTATTTTGACTTTGATATGACGTCTGTACATGTCTAAGAAATACACCAGCTAAGTAAACACACAAGCCTCACTCCTAAGGGAAGTTTCCATATAGGTCAGTGTACTTTTTAAACCATATAAATATCAGATTAACTTGGGATTCCAGAAAATCTAATGTTAGGATCTTATCCAAGATCCACATAGTTTAGTTTTTTTCCCCCTCTAAATTTGCAAGGTAAAAATGTAGAGCTAAAATAAAAAGCTTTGCAGACTCCTGAAAAAATTTTTTTATATTGCTGCTTGTATTTTTTTTTTTCACTGCGTGCATTTTTATGTTAGAGTTTGTGAACCAATCAATCAATGAGCTAATCAGTCAATCAATGATCATGGGTACTGAGTATCTTTCATGTTTGGAACCTTACTAATTACTCTGAAAATTAAGTAAAATAAGCCAAAATGGTACTGTTATTGACCATTTAGTTGGAAGATACTGACACACTCTTGGCAACCTTTCATAGAGGTGAGACTTGATCTGAGCCTTGAGAAATGGGTCAAACTTAAGGGAAGGGAGAGCAGTTCTAAGCAAGGGGGATAATTTGATCTAATAATGGGAGAAAAATGGTATATCTCAGGAAAAATAAGAAAATCCAGCATTGGTTGCTCCTGGTCAGTGGTGAGGAAATAAGACTGGCTAGGCAGAAAAAACAAATAGTGGAGAATTTTTATCATTAGGTATTGGAGTTTACCTTGATTTGGGAGATACCAGAAAGTTCATATATTTTCTGGTCATAAGAGTGATGTGAGGAGATTAATGTTCAAATGGCAGTCTGGTGAATGAGTTAGAGGCAGGATGCAGAACCTGAGGTCTGTTCAGGTGTGGTTGAAGGAATGACGACCACGGTGTGTAAGCTGGGCTACAGTAGGAGAAGGGAAAGATGCCTGGGCTATCCTGAAGGAAGATTTCATAGAGCCTGATGACTAGGCTGGTTGATCACCTTACTGAAATCTGTTTTTAAGAAAAATAAAGTGCAGCTTTTAGTTTTGAGCTTGAGCTTCCAGCTTTTCTGTTCCTGTCCTCAGTAGATGACCATTTCTTTTGCTCTTTTACATCTTCCTTGTCCAGAGAAACCCTGCATAAATGTTTGCCAAAAAAACCGAATCAACAAAATAGCTTTCAAATATACATTCTCACAAAAAGTATCTGCTTTTCAAAAATATCATAGTACAATACAAGATCTAATCTTGCTTTCCCCTAATTTAAACTGTTTCTCCACCCTGAATTCTCTCTCTTTCATCCTTATTAAATCTACTCATTCTTTAAATCTCATCAAAAATGCCACTTCATTTTGTTCCTGACTGATCATAGCTAAGGGTATTTGCATTTTTCTTTTGGTAATTAATCACCAGTCATAGCCCACCTTATGTTTTAACTTTTGTACATTATTTCATGAGATATATATTTTTTAAGGAGGTTCCCCACCCAGGACAGAGCCCAACACGGGGCTTGAACTCATGACCCTGAGATTGAGACCTGGGCTGAGATCAAGAGTCAGACACTGAACAGACTGAGCCATCCGGATGCCCCTTATTTTGTGAGATATTTAATGGGTGCCTCTTGGAGGACAAGCTGTATGTCTTACATGTCTTTATATTTATTCCCTCTATGGCATAGACCACTGTTCTGCATAGTGCAGGTGATGTATAATCTGCTATTGTCACATTGAATTATTTATTGGGTAGCATTGTCCTGGTTTGGCACATGGCATTTCTTGTCTGGGCTATTAGTGCAGTCTCCTAGCTCATCTCCCTGCCTCCAATTCATCCTTCAAATTGCTGCCCAAATTATTTTTATAAATTTTAGTTGAGACTGGTACCTATTGCCTCAGAATAAAATCCCAACCTTTAATATTCAAAACCTTCTATCACCTGGTCCTGGGCTACACTTCTACACCCATCCTGGGTCCTATCCTCTGCAGAGTGTGTTCTGGTCATGCTGGACCATGGGCCCAAAATGACTAATATCTGAACTTTGTTGAATCTTGTCACCCTAATCTAGAATGCACCTCTTACCCTGCAAGTGATTCCTTTTTTTTTTTTTTTTTTTTTTTACCAGTCAGGTCACAGGAGACACTCTTTTGGGCTGTTATTGTCACTTCAAGCAACTCCAAGTTATTCCTTAGCTAGAATGCCAAAAATAAACCTCATCTCCTTGCTATTGACAACAACATGAAAACTTGTTTTCCAAAGTTGTCAAAAGGCATCTAAGCCAGTATACAGACATCTCCGTGAAGGTCAAAGCTCACTGTTTAATAGCGGCCAAGTTCTCTGTAAGTCAAACTAACTCTTTTTTAAATCTGCGATTGTCTAACACAGGAAAACAAAGTTAGAAACAGGCTAGGGCCTGGCACAGGGTGGGGCTTTCCTAAAGTCCAAATGCACAATGCACCCCCATCCGTAAGAGAATCACTGCTGGTACTGATCAAACATTGTGGCAAAACAGACAAACACGCAAACAAACCCTCTACCAAAGACCCATTTCCTATGAAATTTTGAGTGAGTGCTTTAAGTCATGCCCCTGAAACTCATCTTTTGCCTCCCTATGCTCACATGACAGATAATACACAATTCTATTTTTTTTTCCAGTGGGACTGCTTGAAATTGCTGTATTTTGAAATGCTCCTGAGCTTAAAATATATGAAAAAATGAAATACTATCAAAATGAATAGGCTGTGGATCCTAAATGCATGAACTCTGAGAAACTGGAAGATTAAGTAATATTTATTTGTGGAGGTATGTGCCTTCTAATTTTAAATCTATTTCTGTTTGTTCCACACTAGAGAACATTGGAAAATACCACCTGAATAAAGCTTTTGCTTTTAGCAGCCCTGAAAAACTCAAAACTCTTGTTTTTTGTTACTATAATCTGGCTTCTCCTTTGATTAAAGGCCAAAAGTTACAGAGAACATGCTGAATAAGAGGTATTGATTTTTTGCCAAAGGTAAAACTCTACAGATATTTTCAGACATTTGAGCCAATGGGCCTTTTAAAACCTTGTAATTATTTCCTTGTGCATTGGTAGATACTTCTTGTTTCATCAAAACTTATAAGACTTTTTAATACTCCATCATTTATTTAGCAATGATTTATGCAGCTTCCACTGGTGTCAGGCAAAGTGTTGGGATTCAGCAATGAGCAGCAAAAAACAGCCCTCAAATTGTGCTATCCACAATCTGGAGAAGAAGTCATAGAATTATCAAATAATCCTACAAATTAGTGAGAATTCTATTAGCACTCTAAATTAGAGAACCTGGTGCTATGAGAATGTCTAAAAAGGGATCTGACCTAGGTAAGGAGGTCAGGGAAAGCTCCCCAAGGAAGTGACGATTGCACTGATTTGTGAATGATGAATAAGAGCTAAAATTGCATTCCACGCAGAAGGACTCTTACGTGCAAAGGCTCTGTGGACCAGTGGGCATATGACCTGCAGTGTGAACGGGAGTAGGTCAGTGTGGCCAGCAGAGCTGGGGAAACATGGCTAACACGGGGTTGGAGTGGAAGGAGAGGTCAAACCATGCAGGTGTTAGGCCATATTAGGGATAATGCCTTTATCCTAATTGTTTGGAAAACCTGTCAAGGGTTTATAAGTGACAAGAGACAATTGCGATCAGGCTTATGTTTTGAAAGGATTACCAGAGTTAAAAAGCAGGGGACACATGGGGTAAGGGGTAAGAATGAGGGGAGTCTCAACGTGCATCAGATGTTGTCATCTTTGTTCAGGGTGGCCACGGAAAGTAGGCTAGAAATATATTTGAGCTAAAATAAATAGGACTTGGTAATGAATTGAATATATGGCATGACTCCTGAGTTTCTCTGTTGGCCAAAACCTTTCCAAATTAAGGCATAGGCAAACCCGGCATATTTATTCTCTTAAGAAATGTCTCTGTCAATAACCCTTCAGAATTCATTGATTCAACCACTATTTACAGAGCACCTGTTCTGTAATATCCTTATTGCTGGTGATGCAGGAATGCAGGAGGCAGTCTCTCATGGACCTTATGCCTGTCAGTACCAGACACTTTGGCTAAAATGAAAATTAGTGGAAGCACAATGAAAACAGTATTTAAACTATGGGGGTGGTGGGGGTGGTGGGGGTGTCAATTTTTTTTTTAAAGATTTTATTTATTTAAGAGAGAGAGAGAGAGGAAGAGAGAGCGTGCACGAGCTGGGGGAGGGGCAGAGGGAGAAGCAGACTCCCTGCTGAGCAGGACACCCACGGACATGGGGCTCCATCCCAGGATCCTGGGATCATGACCTGAGCCAAAGGCAGATGCTTAACCGACTGAGCCATCCAGGCGCCCGTCGATTTTTCTTTTGGCAGATCAGGTTTTTTTTTTTTTTTTTTTAAGTGCTTTACAATTTCTGAAGCTCCTTACTACCTCATGGGCAGTGGGATAGAAAGGAGGGTGTACATTGAGGAACCAGGGAAGTTGAGGGCTTCCGAGGTCACAAAGCTATGAGAAATTATTACTTAGGCTCAGGTATTGCAAATCTGAGATGAGGGCTCTTACTCTTTTTTAAAATTAAGACTATAATCAGGGAGGTTGGAAAAGAAGCCTCCTGGAGAAGAGTATTCCTTTTCTAAATAACCAGTCTGAAAAATAACAGATTCAAGGCCCTCCCTATCAACTTGGAAAAAATCACATTCCTAGATTAAGAAACTAAAGCGTGCTTCTTTTGCCTTCATCATTAGCTAAAGTAACATGACCAGATTCTTTATTGGCCAAACGAAGGCAGGAGAGTCAGGAAAATTCTGATTTTTGTATTGATCATGGAGGTGAACAATTTCAGGTATGCATCTTGGAAGTTCGTGCCAGTACCCTGTGGGGGAATTTAGAACCAAGGAAATATAAAAGGCAGGCCTACATTCACCTTATTTTTTTTCATTTGAGAAGTTGAATTATGTGAAATATTCTGATGCTTTGTCTCCATTATAGTACTTCTTAGCTAGTCTTTGGTAGATACCCTTGAAGGGCTTTAAGGTCAGTTTTTTTTTTTTTCATTAACAATAAACTTGATTTTTTTTTTTTTAACAAGGTTATATGAGAAAGTTTGATCCCAGGGTGGTTCTAAGGAGGTGGTCTGACTTCTCTTGGTCTTCATATGCTTATTAGGTTTAAAAAAGAGGTAATTGCAGGGAAGACATACTCCTATCCCTTCTGAGCACTGTCAATTCTTAATTGAATAGGCACATCACCTGGGTTACCTCTTCATTACTGGAAAGGTTTCCCTTGTATCTAACATATTTCCAGTTTAACAGCCCCCCCCTCCGGCACAACCCACAAAAAAGTCTCTACATCTGAACCAATATTCAACATTATTTATCAAAATAAATTTATTAAAAGTATTCAAAGACCACGTCAAAGTTTAGCTGCCTTCAGGACAGTTTTTGGCACTCATCATGGACAATGTAGTTTCCTACACGACAGCACTCATTCTATTACACCACTTAACAATTCAAACACAGACCATTTCAGTTTTAGTGTTACATGAGACAACAGTACTGATGATCTGTAGTCCTAAGAACTTCAACACCCTTGCACACAGTAAACATTTTAATATTACTTATTCCTAAATAACTAAAACTAAAACCACTATGTGGTAACATGGACTGATTTAGGGAAAGATACACAGCCAGCTAGCTAAGGCCAAATAATCCCAGACCTCTTGATTTTTTAAATGTTTTTGGACCAACAGTATCACATCATACCTTGGGGTCTCACATTCCTGCCTTCCCAGTGTGAGACCCATCACATGCAGACCACTTTTTCCCTGTGTTCTGGACACAGCTACGGAAGCTGTCCCAATACAAGCTTCTCCTAGACAGTTACCAGCTTCCTGATTCAATAACTCTGAATCAGTAGTTCTGAGTGATGTTTCCTGAACACCCAGGCTAAGTTTAAGGTCAGTCTTTTTGGCAGGTCACAGCCTTTCCCCTTAGGCAAAAAATGAAATGTCCTCCACTTTTGGGCTCCCTTTCTCATCTCATGTGGCATGGGGCTCTGTGGCGATCTGTGGCTTTTTACACAAGTCCTGGTAGAATTCTGACTCCAAGAAACGGGGATAAGAGTTGTTCTCCATCAAGCTGTAGACCCTTTTCTGGGCAGTTGTAAAGCAGCCGCTTGTAACTTCTTGTATATTTTGGGCAATCAGAGTTTTGGTTTGAAAGTCTATGTTTATCTGAAATTAAAAAAAAAAAGTGGTTTATTCCATAATCAGAGCTAGAGATTGACACCTATTTGATATTTGAAAACAAGAAGCAAAAACTATAATGTGATGAGCTTCACTAGCCAGGTCATTGAAGAAATGAAATTAATCTAATTAAAAACTAGAATTAGTTTTTAAAAACAATTTTACTCCTCCCCCCTTAATTTAATTTGATGTCTTTTGTTTGGTGCTAAGAATGTTCAAAATATGCTGCAATGAAGAACTTTTTTGTCCCCCCTCACCTCTTTTGGAGCTTCTTTTTCTATGAAATCAGTATATATTTTTCTTGCTTTGGAGGACAGTTTTTGGGGAGACTTGGTTTTTTTGAAGTCTTCACAGGCCAGCCAGAATTCAATATTTTCTTCACAAAACTCAGATTTTAAAAAAGCCCTGAATGCAGCAAGACCATCTGGGGAAAAGGGAGGGGAAAAAAAGCATACAGAATGTGAAGTGGGTGACCAATTAATCCCTTAATTTTTTTCCAGAACTACCATTCTCCCACCCTTATATTTTATTATTTCTGGATGATAGCAATTTTCTCGATTTCACTCAAACTTGTAATCCTCAGAATCTGGCTCTTTAAAGACTAAGATGCTAATAGGCAAAATGCTTAAGTTGGTACACTGCTACAAAAATAGAAATACTTAACTTTGCTATTAATGCAAATATTTATAGGGGAACCTAAATTCCCTGGAAACATTGTATGCAGTGGAAAAGCTGATTCAACCTCAAGGAAAAGCAACTGCCACTACAATTTTGGCTAGTTTCTCTTTCCTACCTACAGTGAATAAACCATGCATTTCCATGGTTAAATACTAGGAAATAAAGGAGAAAAATAGGCATTATATTTTTAGTGATTGTAAAGCTGAATTCCCCTTGGGCAATCTGCTCTTCTGTTGTATGAACACCTTTCTACACGTGTGATACTTGAAATGGATCAAATTCAACAGGTTAACTTACATTTACTGGCTAGCAGCTCATCAAATGCTTCTGACCACAGCTGTGCTTCCTCAGGAGAAGGCCTACAAAAGAAAGTCTGCGCATTAGCTTGTGCACACCAGAGTTCCTCTTTTCAGCACAGCAGCTAGCTATTCATATTTGCAAGTACAAGATTTTCAACTTACTTGATGAAGGTTTGCTGTTTGCTTTTCTTGCCATTTTTGGGCTTCCCAGGAGAGGATGAATTTTGCAAGAAGTAGCTCAAACGGGTCTTCCAATCTTTTAATCTAAAAAAAAAAAAAAAGATATTCACTAAGTGGCAACATTTTAAATTGCTACTGCAGCTGAAGGCATTTTATCAAATAAAGTCACCCAGTAGCTACAAACTAAATAAGACAAAACAAGAACTCTTCAAGTCAGTCTTACTCATTTTACATTTAAACCTAGCACCTATGTGCTGAACACAATTAGTTTCATCCATTCATCTGAACAGAAGTACTACCTTTATAACTAAGGGTAAGACTACCTAAAATTATTGGGTAGTTGGCATACTTCAAAAGGCAGATGCTATTTCTGGTCCACAAAAGGCAGTTTTTCTGCAGCCTTAATTACAATTCTGAGACATTTCATACGTGAAACCTACAGTGGAGCGGCCTGGAGCCAGTCGGTATTCATTTCCCTTCTACCCTTAAGCAGGAGGCTCTGGACCACACTAGAAGCCTTGAGGGAGGTGGGTGTGTGTGATTGAGCCCCCCCCCCAACTACAACCCTCATTTTA